AAGAAGCCCTAAGTTCAAGCCCCAGTACTGGTGTATGTGTGTGCGTGTGTGCGCGCTTTTTGTTGGTCCTAGGGACTTGAACTCAGGGCCTAGGTGCTATCTGAGTTCTTTTGCACAAGGCTAGTATTCTACCACTTTGAGCCACAGCACCACTTCCATTTTTGGTGGTGGGGAGTGTTAATTGGAAATAAGCATCTCACGGGACTTTCCTGCCTGGGCTAGCTTTGAACTGCAGCTCTGATCTCAGCCTCCTGAGTTGCTAGGATAGTAGGTGCCGGCTTTATTTGGGTCTTAAACTTCTTTTCCAAATTTGAGGTATAAAGTGTCTTCCTCACATGACCAGGTCGCAGGCCACAACACACGTGTTCACTGTGTGGGCTCCACACTAGTCCGTATGCGGCTCAGCATGGGGCCACCGGTGGCAAGCTTGGATGTCACCCACTGAGTGCTCTGTTCGTCCTCACAATTTCTTCATGCCTACCCTCCATTTCAGCCCTATCCACAGACCACACTTTGAGTTCTCATGTTTATCTTGAGGAATTTTAAAAATGTGATGGTAAGTCATTATATTCTCTTCTTTGTTAACCCACTAAGGCCTATTTGGCCATGTTAGTTTATTTGTTTCCCCTTGTTTCCCCTTTAAATAGACTTTAGACTATGTAGAGGTAGGAGAATGAAGAAGAGCTCTGGGGCTGCTGTTTGGCACACTATCATGTGTGTGTATTGTGTGTGTGTGGTGTATACGTGCGCACACACGCGCATATCACATTAAAGAAAAAAAAGAAGGAAAGAATTGGTACTTCCTATTCTCCCTTCCTTGTCATATTTGCCTTTTACTTCCTTAATTGACTATTTTCTTAACCTAACATCAACTCCTACAAGTGAAGAATAAGATTAATATGAAAGCCGGGCGCTGGTGGCTCACGCCTGTCATCCTAGCTACTCAGGAGGCTGAGATCTGAGGATAGCGGTTCAAAGCCAGCCCGGGCAGGAGAGACCATGAGACTCCTATCTCCAATAAACCACCAGAAAACCGGAAGTGGCGCTGTAGCTCAAGTGGTAGAGCGCTCGCCTTGAGCTGAAGAGCTGAGGGACAGCACCCAGGCCCAGAGTTCAAGCCCCACGACCGACAAAAAAAAAAAAAAAAAGATTAATGTGAAAGGTTCTCAGTTCTTTTTTCCACCCAAGACTATTGAGCAGGTTCTCTTTTTTCTTTTCCTTTTCTTTGTATGTATGTATGTATGTTTGCATGCATGCATGTATGTATTCACTTGTTTATACCAGTCCTGGGCTTGAACTCAGGACCTGGGCATTGTCCTTGAGCTTCTTTTGTTCAAGACTAGCGCTCTACCACTTGAGCCACAGCACCACTTCTGGCTTTTTCTGCTTATGTGGTGCTGAGGAATGAAACCCAGGGCCTCATGCATGCAAGGCAAGCGCTCTACCACCTGCCCAGCCCCCAGGGCCTTATATTCTACCTCAGCCTTTTCACTCATGGCTGATCATTCTACTACTTGAGCCACAGCTCCAGTTATGACTTTTTGTTCATTAATTAGAATTAGAGTCTCGTGGCCTTGGCTGCCTTGGGAAGGCTTCACGCTAGCCTCTTGACTGCCATCTTAACTAAGCCACAGTGCTCAGCTTTGTCAAGTTTTGGCCAAGGAAGCAGTCCAACCAATCAAGTTCACCAACCCTAATTAGATGAAGCTGTTTAGCATAAATCATAGTTTCTCTTCAACCTCAGCCTCGTGAACTGGACAGGCCAGGGGGAGAGAAGGAGCCTTTTGTCTGTGATTACTGGGTGAGCACTGGTACTGGCTTTGGCTGGACTTCCTCCAGCTCCAAATGAGTATGTCTAAAGCCTTGGATTACAGGTCTTCTTTGTTTAGTACTCATCACCAGTACACTTTCTTCTTTGTCTTGGCCCTAGTGACTTTTTCCCCCTCTGTGAACAAATACTTTTCTATGTCTTCTGTGGCTCCTCTGGGCTCCCGAGACACTTCTGCATACACACAGGAACTCCACTCCACCTTATCTTCCTTCAAGACAACACCATAGCCTTAAACGATCAAGACCAACTGTTGGAATCACTCTTTTGGGGTGTTATTTCATTGCTGTTGTTTGTGCCAGACTCGGAGCCTGAACTCAGGGCCCAGCACAGCCCCTGAGCTTTGGGCTTTTGTCCTCAAGGCTGGTGCTATACCACTTGAGCCCACTTGAGCTCCATTTTCAGCTTTTTATGGGGGGTGAGGGAGGAGTTAATTGGAGATAAGAGTTTCATGGACTTTTCATCCCAGGCTGGCTTCAAATCATAGTCCTCAGATCTCGGCCTCCTGAGTAGCTATAATTTACAAATATGAGCCACCAGTGCCTGGCTTGGTTTTCTTTTGTTTTTGTTTTCTTTTGTTTTGTTTTTTTGCTAGTACTAGGGCTTGAACTCAGAACCTGGGCACTGTCCCTTAGCTTTTTCCATTCAAAAGTGGTACCCTAACATTTAAGCAACACCTCCACTTCCAGCTTTTTATGATGATGAATTGGAGGTAAGAGTCTCACACTTTGTCTTCCCAGGCTGGCTTTGGACCTTTATCCTCAGATCTCAGCTTCCTGAGCAGCAAGGATTATAGGTGTGAACCCAGGCATCTGGCTACAATGACTTTTAAAATACATAAGTATATTTGCTATTTACATGTATGTTCTTCTCTACCAATGGATGGCATGACCATCTTCTTTATCCCCCCAGGCTCTGTGCTGGAAGTATAAAGAACTTGACTTAATGAGCTACCTATAGAGGGCCTTACAAAATGCTAGAAGGAGTCACACCAGAAGCTGAACCCTATGTATCAAGTAGATGAGCAGGGACTCATTGAGGCAGACAGTTGGGTCACAAAATTCACAGCTGGATGGGGGTTTGAGAATTTGTGATGTGTTTGGGGAAAATTGGAGAATACCTGAGAGGATGGACTGTGTGGGACACAACAACTTTTATTATTGTTGTTAGAAATGCCAGAGCTTGCGTGTGTAGATGAGAACCCACATGGAGAAGGCAGTCCTGAATGTATTTAAAGGAGTTAGAGAGAATTTTGGAAGTCTCAATGATGAGCAAGCAGTCTGAGAAAGGGGAATGCAGCACCGGGGGCAGGAGCTGTCCTTAGGAAAGGGAAGATGACAGCTCTGATTCTCAGAAAGTTATTGTGGTCCTGGGCACTCTGAAGACCATGAATGATCCTGGTAATAAGAGATGATAGAACTCAGGAGGCTGAGATTCGAGGATCATGGTTCAAAGCCAGCCCAAACAGACAGATCCAGGAGTCGAAGTGTGGCTCAAGTAGAAGATCACTGTCCTTGAGCAAAAAGGACAAGTGAGAACCAGAGGCCCTGAGTTCAAGCCCTGGTACCATTAAAATAAGTAAATAAATGACTGACAGGGGCTGGGAAGGTGGCTCAGTGGTAGAGCGCTTGCCTTGCATGCCTAAGGCCCTGGGTTTGATTCCTCAGCACCACATAAGCAAAAAAGAAAAAAGCTGGAAGTGGTGCTGTGGCTCAAGTGGTAGAGAGCTAGCCTTGAGCTGAAGAGCTGAGGGACAGCGCCCAGACCCAAAGTTCAGGACCCACGACTGGACCCCCCCCCCCCCCAAAAAAAAAAATGACTGATGAAGGAGTAGTGATAGAGAAAAGAAACAATTGGAGGAACAAACTAAGCAGTGATGGGCAGCTGGCTGAAGAGGAGGAATGATGGGAAATGAGGAATCAAGACTGCATCCAAGCTGGGTGCCAGTGGCTCACATCAGTAACCCTAGCTACTCAGGAGGTTGAGATCTGAGAATCGAGATTCAAAGCCAGCCCAGACAGAAAAGTACATGAGACTCTTATCTCCAATTAACCAACAAAAAACCAGAAAAGGGGAAACGTGGCTCAAGTGGTAAAGTGTCAGCCTTGAGTGAAAAAAGCTAAGCAAGAGCATGAGTCCCTGAGTTCAAGCCCCAGTACCAACACAAATATACATATGTGTATGCCTAAATGTTACAAAGCACCAGAGAGGCCACAGAAGAAGTAAGAGCAGAACACAGCAGGCAACTGGCAAAGGAGACAGTGGTCACTTACACCTGAGTGACTAGAAAGAAGAGGAGGAAATGGCACAAGAGAGGCAACCTTCAGGAGGGAGGACAGGGAGGGGGTGGGGGGAGACCACTCCAGGGGACTACTCCAGGCATTCTAGCCAGAACAAAGGCCTGGTGGGAGGAAACAGAGACTATATCTGGAGAGAAAGCACTCAGCTTTCTATGATTAGATCTTGGCCCTCAGCTTACACCAGTCAGACAAGAAACTAGAGAAGGGACAGACCTGTGAGCATTTCTGTGATCACTTTATCCAGGGTAATGAATAGTGCATTCGTATGTTGGAGGGCCATGTTCATATCTACTCTTCCTCCTGATTGTGAAATCTGTGCTTCATGTTTTCCAACGGCCCCATTTCTAGCTTCTCAGCCTCACACAATGTGTGTGTGTGTGTGTGTGTGTGTGTGTGTGTGTGTGTGTGTGTGTGTGTGTGTGTGTGTGTATGTGTTATGTGTGAGAGCATGCCAGTCCTGAGGGCTTAAACTCAGAGCCTGGACAGTATCCCTGATGATTTTCTTGCTCAAGGCTGATGCTCAAACCCTGAAGCCACAGTTCCACTTCCAGCGTTTTGATGGTTAACTGGAGATAAGAATCCATAGCCTTTCCTTCCCAGCGTCTGGCTTGGACCTGCAATCCTCAGATCTCAGCCTCCTGAGTAACGAGGATTATAAGCATGAGCCATCAGCACTGTGCTGCCTTGCACAATTATTCACTGTGTACTAGAGTGTGCAAAGGAAGGAAGCTGTAGGTGGCTGTGTCCCAGTGTGTGGCCATTAGCAAGTCCCTCTGGCTTCTGTTTTTGTCATCTATAAAAAGGTAATGCGTACAAGATGATCTTTCAGTTCTCTTTTACTCTGACAGTCTGTATAAGGGAGGTGTCTTTTTTGTTGTTGTTTGCAGTCAATATTTGGAAATCCAAACAGCAGTTTACAGAGGTGTCAAGAGATTAGTGAACTAGGAAGGCCAAACTAAGGGATAGGTTACATGAGAAGTGGACAATGATTCTGGTTAATTTACTCACACAACAAAGAGACGCTTCTTCCTGCTGTGCAGATCCAGCGTTGTCTCCTCCAGCATTTCCTCCTTTGAAAAGAACATAAACACAACTTAGATTACTACTGTTATATGTCTTAGTGAAAATATATTCCTAAAACATGAGAAGCCTGAGTAAAACCCAGCAGTTTGTGTGTGTGTGTGTGTGTATGTGTGTGTGTGTGTGTGTGTGTGTGTGTGTGTGTGTGTGAGTGTGTGTGAATACTGGGGTTTAAACTCAGGGCCTCAAACTCTTGCTTGGCTTTTCTGTTCAAGGTTGGCACCATACCTCTTGAGCCAGGCCTCCATTTTCTGACCCAGAAGTTTTATCCATCTGGATTTAGTTCTGTTGTGTTTTTTTTTTTTAATGGTAATATTTTTTCTTTTCATTTCATTAATTTTATTTTATTTTGTTTGTTTTTGTGGTACCAGGAATCAAACCGAGGGCCTCATGCTTACTAGGCAAGCACTCTACCACTAAGCCACATACCAAGAACTTAGTTCTGTCTTTATTAGCTCCACAGAATTCATGGACATCTGTCAGGTGCCCTCTGTGTCTTTCAAAAATTCTTCTCTTAGCCGGGTACCAGTGGCAACAACCTGTAATCTTTACTACTCAGGAGGCTGAGATCTAAGGATCATGGTTCAAAGCCAGCCTGGGCAGGAAAGTCTATGAGACTCTTATCTCCAATTAACCACCAGAAAACCAGAAGTGGTGCTGTAGTTCAAGTGGTAGAGCGCTCGCCTTGAGCTGAAGAGCACAGGGACAACTCCCAGGCCCAGAGTTCAAGCTCCATGACTGACAAAAAGAAAAAAAAATTCTTCTGTTTTTAAGTTAGTAGTATAATTTGACATTCTGCTCTACTGGCTTATTACTAGCCCGATCATCAAAATACAAGATTCAATTATAAGGCAATTCCTATTGGCCAAATACAGCGATAAGTTTTCTCTTATCTTCCGGGCTATTCAATCTTTGTTTTGATGATACCAGAGAGCCTTCAACTCTCTTTTTAAAAAATCATTTTTCACTGATGATATGATTTTTGTTTTTGAGCCGTTCTCACTAGCCCAGGCTGGCATTGAACTTGTTCTGTATCCTACCAGAGCCTTCAAAGTGCTAAAGCTATAGAAAGGTGCCACCATCCCAGGCCATGATATGATTTTTATTTTGGTTTGGTTTTTAATGCTACACCTGGGGTTTGAACTCAGAGCCTGGGCACTGTCCCTGAGCTTTTTTGCTGGAAGCTGGAGTTCTACTACCTGAGCCACTGCTCCAGTTCTAGGTTTGCTTTTTTTTGGTGGGTTAATTGAAAATAAGAGTCTCCTGGACTTTATTATCTGGGCTGGCTTCGAACCACTACCCACAGATGTCAGTTTCCTGAGTGGCTAGGATTATAGGTGTGAATCAACGGCACCTACCTTCCTCAAGTCTTCTCTTAATTAAAACAAATTTTCCACTGGATCCTTGTACCAACACACATACACAAGAAGATTTGTGTCTGTCAGTTTGTTAAAACTTAATGATAGTCTTTTCCTAAAAAATAGTATTCATATCTTCACATCCAGTACTGAGCTCATATATATATAATTATCATATTTCTTGACATAATATCTATATTTACTCATAAAACCAAAAAAAGATTCTCCCTTGGACTGCATTTGTATAATAAACTGTAACCATGGGTTGAATCTTGTTTTTCTTTTCTGTTAAGCATGGCTGTTAAATTTGTTCTAGGGATTCATCTCCCATAGTGGCTTGTGAAGTGGCCACAGTAATTTGGAGATGCTTCAACTGAGTGGCACTTCCTTGAAAACAAACCTCGAGAATGGGAAAAGAGGCCTCTTTATTACTTGGGAAGACAGAAAGAGAAGACGGAGCAGTACCCCGCCCTTGCTCCCTCAGCCCTCTGGGCTCTCACTTGGCTCTCTGTGGACTCTGTCCTGATGTGGGCCTTCCTTGGGGAGGGGACTCTGCCTGGATTCCGTGTTCAGAGTGTCATTAAACAAACAGGATGGATAGTGTGGCACTTCTTCCTCCGAACAGGGGCTCAGCAAACTACACTGTGGCTTCCTCTTCTCCTGGGCCTTCTGCTGAGAAGCTGCTTGCTGGTTGCTCCATCTCAAGCTGTTACTTGAAAAAAAAAAGATTTTTTTTTTTTTGGTCAGTCCTGGGATTTGAACTCAGGGCCTGGGTACTATCTCTGAGCTTTTTGCTCAAGACTAGAGCTCTACCACTTGAGCCACAGTGTCACTTCTGGCTTTTTCTGAGGAATGGAACCCAGGACTTCAGGCACGGTAGGCAGGCACTCTACCACTGAGCCACCTTCCCAGCCCAAAGCCAACATATTCTTTTATTTTATTTGTGAACATACTGTACAGAGGGGTTACAATTACATGGACAGGATAATGCATACATTTCTTACCAAGCATTGCAGCCTCCTCCTTTGTTTACCCTTCACATCCCTTCCCAGCCTCCCCCCTCCAAAGCCAACATATTCTAACATGCCTATTTATCCCTAAATCCATTCACAGCATTTAAGGTTTATTTATTTTTGTTTTGCTTTGTTTTTTTTGGCGCTGAGTCCTGGGGCTTTAACTCAGGTCCTGGATATTATCCCCAGGATTCTTTTTCTCAACGCTAGCACTCTACCACTTTGAGCCACAGTGCCACTTCTGGTTTTCTGATGGTTAACTGGAGATAAGAGTCTCATGAACTTTTCTGCCTGGGTTGGCTTCAAATTGCTACTCAGGCCCCTGAGTAGCTGGGATTACAGGCATGAGTCACCAGCACCTGGCTAGCATCTAGGTTGTTTTTTTTTTATGGGTTGAACTGTATATGAAAGATACTTTGAGAGATCGGAACAAATATTCTTCATAATCAGATATCTCCCTACCTAAGGTACCATGCACAAAAAAAAAAAATTCATGACATTTTCACCAAACACAGTATCTGAAACTTAATACAATATAATTTTAATCTCTCCATCTCTGAGACTGGATCTCATTATGTAACCCTGGCTGGTCTGGCCTGAACTTACTATGTAGCCTACATTGGCTTCTAACTCAAAATCCTCCCATGTCATCCTTCTAGAAGCTAACGTGCTGGGATTATAGGCATGTGCTCCCCAGTTTGGCTCTCAGTTTCTCTTTGATATCATGAAGTCAAAATAATATTCTCCAGAAAAATTCCCAATATAGAAACGGATGCATTCCTTTCCTTATCTCCAAAGGCAGATGATTACAATTTTTTTTTTAGCATTCTATGAAAACTACACTGAAAATACACTGTAGAAATATAGTGTTTCCAGATGAGAAACTCTTCTCATAGAAGACCTAGCAAAAGTTGGGGAAAAGTAGCATGAGCCACTAAAAGGCTAAATTATCAAAGAATGAAAAAAATCTGACATCCTAGGCTATGTATTGGGTGGCTCGTGCCTGTAATCCTAGACACTCAGGAAACTGAGTAGTCTGAGTAGCTCAGAGTGACCCACCAGTGCCCAGATTTCTGTCTCATATTTCTAATCAGTGTTCATGGTTTCCTTTCTTTTCTATCTCCTTCCTTCTCTTGCTCATTCTCTCTAAGTTGAGACAGGATTACACTGTGTAGTCTAGGCTGGCCTTGAACAAGTGATCCTCGTGGCTCAGCCTCCTGATGCTGGGATTGTAGATTTGTGAAATCAGGCCTGGCCCACTACTCCCTTCTTTTTCTAAAGTTTCAGTTAAAGCTTTGCTTGGTTCTTGCCTTTGGTACAGCAGCATCTCCTACCTACACTGTCTCCTTTCTTCAACCAACCTTACTAGCTCTGATCCGTATTATCTATGGGGCCTGAGGCAAATTGTTTCACTTTAATCCTCGATTTAGAGTAAGACCAGAGTACCAGTGTCACAAATGAAAACAAATGCTGGACACTGGTGGCTCACACCTGTAACCCTAGCTACTCAAGAGGCTGAGATCTGAGAAACGTGGTTTGAAAGCAAGTATGGACAGGAGAGTCAGTGAGACTCTTATGTTAAATTAATCACCCATTAATTAATTCTTAAATAAGCCAAAAATGGAGTTATGGCTTAAAGAGTAGAATGCCCTGAGTTCAAATTCTAGGATGGGTGCAAGCACACATACATACACACACACACACACACACACACACACAAACATACACACATAATGTAAACAATATCCTAGGCTCCCCCCCCCCCCACACACACACACAAGGCTGTAAATTGAGAAACTGATAAAAAGAAAATCTTGGGGTTGGAGGTGTGGCCTAGCTGGTAGACCACTAGCCAATGAGCAAAAGTGACAGGTACAGAGACTCCCTGTCTCAAATCTAAAATGTCAAGAAAGAAAAAATCTTAATGATTCTCATCTTCCTACTCAAGAAAAAAATTTTGTTTGGTTGGTGTGGGGCTTGAACTCTGGGCCTGGGAGCTGTCCCTCAGCTCTTCAGCTCAAGGTCAGCTCTATACCGCTTGAGCCACAGCGCCAAGTCCGGTTTTCTGGTGGTTAATTGGAGATAAAGGTCTCACGGACGTTCCTGTCCAGCCTGGCTTTGAACCATGATCCTCAGATCTCAGCCTCCTGAGTAGCTAGGATTACAGCCACGGGCGCCTGGCTCTCCAAAACTATTCTTGAGCAACCCACAAAATGGATCAATTCAATCTTCATTGAATATCATTGCCAATCACTGATCTGGGTCCTGGAAACACAAGGATAAATAGACCAGGACATTGCTTCTGTGGAATTGATATTCCAGGATAGGGAAAGAAATGGAATAAAAAGAAGGAATAATAAGAAATACAGGTTGGGCATCAGTGGCTCATGCCTGTAATCCTAGCTACTTAGGAGTCTGAGATCTAAGGATCATGGTTCAAAACCAGGCCAGGCAGGAAATTCAAAGAGACTCTTATCTCCCATTAACACCAAAAATTCAGAAGTGAAGCTTTGGCTCAAGTGAAAGAGTGCCAGACTTGTGTGAAGAAACTAAGTATTCAGGTTCTGAGTTCAAGCCCAAGTACCTGCACACAAAAAAAGCAGTTAATACTGTCTCAACTGTGTATTTCAGACATCTGGATTCTGGCTCAGGTAGAGCTTTGTATTACATAAGGAACAGGAACTATATAATTCTTCAGCCTAGCAGGGGCTCAAAAATTAGTAATGATCATAATTGTTTAGGAACATTGTGGATTTGTTCTGTGTGTGTGTGTATGTGTGTGTGTGTGTGTACACATGCTGGAACTGGGGTTTGAACTCAGAGCCTCACACTCTTGCTTAGCTCTTTCACTCAAGGCTGGAGCTCTACCACACTTCCACTTGCAGCTTTATGCTAGTTAAATGGAGATAGAAGTCTCATGGATTTGTCTGCCTGGGCTGGCTAGGAGCCTTGATCCTCATGTCTCAGCCTCCTGAGTAGCTAGAATTATAGAACTGAGCCACCAGTGCCTGACTATTGCGTTAAATATTGTATAAAATCATTTATAATCAGAAACATTTCACAAAACTCTTGAGGTATAGTTGTTTTCTTTCCCTCCCTTTTAATGTAAACTTCTCAGGCGTGTCGTCTTACACTCACTATTTCCATTTCCTCAACTTGTGTCTATTTGGTTTCTTCCCCAACCATCCCTCTAAAATTGTTCCCAATGAAATCTCACTTCTCCCTATGGAGTAGATTTCTGGGCCAGGGGAGGGAAGATGACTTCAGGGAAACAACAACCTAGAGCAGAGTGGATTAGAACAGAACAGAGGAAACAAGGAAGCAGAAAGGGAAGCCATTCCTTCCAACTTAAAAGAATGATCCAGAACCAAAATTAAACCAAGCACTCACCTTTTCCCAAGAGTCAGGCAATCCAGTTAGAAGCCATCCCATCTACACAGAAGAGAGAGAGTCCTGATGCATGTGAACTCCAAGCAGAGACAAGCTGAGAACCCCACACAGGCCCAGAAGGATGAGTTCTAGGGAATGGTAAACCAAGAGGAATTTCAAACACATCAAGTTATCAGGGGCCTTCAGTGGGGCTGTCTCAAGAATATCTAATAAAACAAAAATAATCAAATACATCTAGTTGACCATGTCCCTGTTGAGAGCTGGGCTCCCAGGGGTGCTCCTATACTGGATAGTCAACAGAGTGCCTGCCACACCCAACTTCCTCTTCGAGATGAAACTGCCCCACCCACAGCCCCCTGCTTTGAGAGACAAAGCTAGGTTGCTCTTTACCTGGGGATGGCTCCTGATTGGACCAGGAATCAGGGCCACCTCTGCAAAAATCAGGTCTTGAATGGAAAAGATGCCTTGAATCCATCGGATTCCTCTTTCCAGAGTTTGAATTAGGACATGTAGATATCAAGAGATCATGAAGATGGACGCTGAAAGAAAGCCATAGAAAGGAATGGGGCCAGGGACCATTATAACAAATGAGAGTTAGTGATTAGAAATGGCAGCAGGGAGCTGGTGGCTCCCATCTATAACCCTCGCTAGTCAAGAGGCTGAGATCTGAAAAAGAAAGCAGAATTTGTGGATACACAGCAATTATGAAGTAAAGAGCTGGAGAGTAAACAGAGGGTATGATTTCAAGTAGAAAAGGACACACCTGGCAAGAAGGAGCCAAGAAATGAATGGTGTGTGACTGCCAGGAAACTCTAGTCACCTGGCTCTCCTGAGACCCACATTCGTGCCACCAGATGGATCTGCCTGTTGTTGTTGGGCCAAGCCCAAGTTGTTAGGCTCTGATGCTAATGGTTCTTGGGCATCTCCAATGAACAAGGCCACTGAAGGGACGCTGATAGAAGAACATGGTGGTTCCTCCTCCTCTTCTGTTTCCTCCTTCTCCTCCTCTTCTGTTTCCTCCTTCTCCTCCTCTTCGTCGTCCTCCTCCTCTTCCTCCTCTTCCTCCTCCTCCTCCTCCTCCTCCTCCTCCTCCTCCTCCTCCTCCTCCTCCTCCTCCCACCTGTGGAGTTTCTTCATCCCTTGGCGTTACAGCATCTTTACCTGCAAAATGTCAGTAACAGTGCTTAGTTACTATAGGTTAAGTCCTTTGAAGAGTGCTTGGTACAGAGTTCCTGCTTTATGGAGCAGAGGGGAGGGGAGGCACAAGCTGAGCCTTGGGATAAGAAGTTTGCTTCTGTTTCAGGAGGTCATGACGAGGGCGGGGGCACAAAAAGACAAAGTGTTTCTAAGCATCTCCTGGAATGAATGTCTAGACATTCTGAAGCGACAAGGAGGCTCTTGCGCAGAAGCATAGGTAGCTTAGCCCACACATTCCTGGAGAATGTTCTGGAGGTCCTGACCACTCAGGTACCAAGGCCTGCAAGTTCTAGAGTACTCTTGAGCTGGGCACTTGTGACTCACATCTGTCATTCTAGATATGCAGGGGGATGAGATCTATAGATCATGGTTCAAAGCCAGCCCAGGGAGAAAAGTCTAGGAGACTCCTGTCTCCAACCAACTGGCAAAAACCTGGAGATGGAGCTATGGCTCAAGTAGTAGAGCACCAGCTAGCTAAGTGACAGTACCCAGATTCTGAATGTAAGCCCCAGTACCAGCACATACTCACACACACACACAAAGTAAATTGTTACCATTTTGAAAATGTAAGTTTTCCCCCAAAAGACCAAGAAAATCAAACCTTTGACATCTGTTTGATGCATATATAATAGAAATTTTTTTTTTAAAAAAAAGCATAAAAACAAGAGCTGATTGACCTGAATGAACGATATCTCTGATTCCTCGTAGAATGCTGAAGGAAACAGCCCTGGGGGGAGGGGGTGTGTTTATGACCTTATTCGATGTGTCAGAGGAAATGTCAGCAATTTGGAAATTCAACACAACTTGACAGAAAAACAGCTTTGATTTTCTAATTCCACCACAAGTCCTACCTCAGTCTAATTATTTTCTAGGGAACAAATCTCTGCTTGGCCACGATTCCAACAACTGATGAATAACAGTACATGGTGTCATGTACTGATCACGTTAATGGACAGTCGACATTAGACAGGGCATCATTTTGCCATTCTTTTATTTTTTTAATTTTTTTTTGGTCCAGTCGGGGGCCTGAACTCTGGGCCTGGGCGCTGTCCCTCAGCTCTTCAGCTCAAGGCTAGCGCTCTACCACTTGAGCCACAGCGCCACTTCCGGTTTTTTTCTTTTTGCTTATGTGGTGCTGAGGAATCGAACCCAGGGCCTCAGGCATGCAAGGCAAGCGCTCTACCACTGAGCCACCTTCCCAGCCCTTGCCATTCTTTATGACAAATTTTGGTATTAACGGGAAACTTCAAGATAAAAGTGGTCTAAAAATACATACAATATAAGAACAGTTTCTAAATTTCAGTGTATTGACATTTGAGGCCAGGTAATTGTTTGTTGGGGAGTCATTCTGGGCATAAAGGGGGTCCCTCTCTTTAGATGTGAGTCACACCCTCATAGTTGCAACCATCCAAAATGTCTCCAGGCCTTGGTAAAAGCTGCCCCTCAGTGGTTTCTTACTCTTAAGAAATAAATCTAGTGCTAGGAAATCAGAAACCATGACCTCAGACGTTGCAAATACTTATGAGTAGGCATGCCATTTAATTCGCTAATTAGTTTGGGTAGCTGGGGGCTCACTTTGCTTATAAATCAAGCCAACTCTTCCCTCTGAATCATAGTTAGAGAACGACAACTTGTGTAGAGTAAACATAATTTTCACAGTCAGTATAGCATGGAGACGAAGCGCTTAGCTCCCAAATCAGACATTCTTGGTTGGAAATCCTGACTCTGCTATTTGCTTACTAAGTAACCTGTGTTTGCTCCTCCCTCCCTCCCTCCCTCCCTCCCTCCCTCCCTCCCTCCCTTCCTTCCTCCCTCCCTCCCTCCCTCCCTCCCTCCCCTCTTTCCTTCTTTCCTTCCTTCCTTCTTTCCTTCCTTCCTTCCTTCTTTCTTTCCTTCCTTCCTTCCTTCCTTCCTCCCTCCCTCCCCTCTTTCCTTCCTTCCTTCCTTCCCTTCTTCCTTCCTTCCTTCCTATCTTCCTTTTCTACTTAGACTGGCACTAGGTGTTAAAATCAGCCTCATGCACTGGCTTGGCTTTTTCAGTCAAGGCTGGTGCTCTACCACTTGAGCCAGATATCCATTTCTGGGTTTTTGCTGGTTAGTTGAAGATAGGAGCCTCATGGATTTCTTGGCCCAGGCTGGCTTCAAACCTTGATCCTCAAATCTCAGCCTCCTAAGTAGCTAAGATTACAGGTGCAAGATACCAGCACCTGGCCAGAGATAAGTTTCTATAATTCTTTCCATTATTTCCTGTCTGCACAGTAATAATTGCACATTTGAGAGGACATAATTCAGGATAATTCAGTGAACTTGAGGTGCTAAGAATTGAGCCCAGCCAGTAGGTGTTTCTTGCTTTTTTTTTTTTTTTTTTTGGTCCGGTCATGGGGCCTGAACTCTGGGCCTGGACAATGTCCCTCAGCTCTTCAGCTCAAGGCTAGCGCTCTACCACTTGAGCTACAGCACCACTTCTGTTTTTTTTTTTTCTTTTTTGCTTACGTGGTGCTGAGGAATCGAACCCAGGGCCTCATGCATGCAAGGCAAGCACTCTACCACTGAGCCACCTTCCCAGCCCTATTTCTTGTTACACTTAAACTGACAACAACCCTTAAAGCTAGGCAATATTATTTCTTTTTTATATGTGCAGAAGGGAATAATAGGGGCAATCAAGTCTTAAATCACATACAGTCATATCACACTGTTAAGTCATTTGGCTGGCAAGAAGAAGAGATAAAATACATTTTAAAAGTTTTACAAATTGCTAGATGCCGGTAGCTCATGCTTATAATCCTGGTACTCAGGAAGCTAATATCTGAGGATTGGGATTTGCAGTCAGCCTTAGCAGGAAAGTCTGTGAGACTCTTATCTCCAATTAACCAACAAAAAGCTGTAAGTGGAACTGTGACCCACATGGAAAAAACTCAGGGAGAGTACCAGGCTTTGAATTCAGGCCCCAGTACTACCATAAGGGTAGGTAGGGTCAAGGGGAGTTGAATGAAGAGCGGAAGTAGGGGGTGCAGCCATAACATGCAATGGATATCCTATGAAATTAAGAAACTGGTAGAGGTATGGCTCCCCTGCCAGCAGGGGAGGGGGACAAGCAAGAGCACAAGGCCCTGAGTTCAAGCCCCAACACTGCCACCAAAAAGAGGAGGGGGCTAGGAATGTGGCTTAGTGGTAGAGTGCTTGCCTAGCATGAATGAAGCCCTGGGTTCGATTCCTCAGTAGGACATAAGCAGAAAAAGCCAGAAGTGGTGCTATGGCTCAAGTGGTAGAGTGCTAGCCTTCAGCAAAAGAAGCCTGGGATAGTGCCAGGCCCTGAGTTCAAGCCCCAGGAATGGCGGGGGAGAGAGGGGGAAGTAATAGCCAAGAAAGTTGAGGGGAGAGGTAGCCTTGGGAGAGATAGGGTAGAATAATGAAAAGAGTGACATCAATCAAGATACATTAGATTCATAAATTGATTTGTTGAATGGTAACTCCTTTGTACAACTGCTGTACATACAATAAAAATAAAATATCAATTCAGAAATATAATAATAAAGAGAGGAAGAGTGACCTTTCAAATTCCAAGACTCCAGGCTTGGGTGGGACACAATGTAAACCTGGGAGAAAGTTCTCCATTTGGGGGAATCCCACTGGAGACCTGTCCACTTGGCTTGGTGGACTGGCAAGGAGCAGTGGAAAGATTCAGCTTTACAAGAAAGCCACGGTGCCAGCTGAGTAGAGCTTTGAGAGCCTGGGCCAGGTTTGCGAACATCCTGAGGATGTTTACTCATCTGCAAAATGGACACAAAGACACCTGCTCTGCCATCGTCACGGAGGCTGCTCAGAGTCATGAGAGGAAATGTGTGTGGCCAAAGCCTGCCCGACCATGGCCCGCTGGGTGGACAGGGGTGGAAAGGCCAGGTTCTCTCTGCCCGCTCTCCTGATGACGGGTCTTCCCCTCAAGCCCTTGCTCCTGCCAAAAGACCCATCTCAAGTTCAGGGTCAGCTGCAGTAGGTTCAGAGGGGGAGGCCCCTGTGTGTCAGGGCGGGGCTGGGCCTTCCGCTGCCTGGGTGCAGGGTG